GTGGTGCCTGGGACTGTGCTCCTTCTGCTTCTGGAGCTGCGTTCTCCACGGCCCTTCTGATGCTACCAGGCGCCCACGGTGGGGACTGGGCGCCTCTTCCTGTGGAGTTGTGCGGCTCCTCGTCACAAGTCCTGCCTCTCGTGCCCATGGGAGGGTTCGTGGAGGTCACTCTGCTGGTCACGGGGGAATCAGGTGGTAGTCTGAAGGACYGGGCGGCCACAGGCTGTGACAGACCCAGGGATGGATGGGGTACAGAAGGCCGCCGGCGAAACCGAGGTTTCAGGTCCACAGTGGCCGTCAGGCCTCGTCTGGGACACCTGCTTTATTTCTTCTTTTTTTTGAATATTTATTTTTTAGTTGGACACAAGACCTTTATTTTGTTTATTTATTTTTATGGTGCTGAGGATCGAACCGAGGGCCTTGCACGTGCTAGGTGAGCGCTCTGCCACTGCGCCTCCAGCCCTGACACCTGCTTTTCTGACGGACAGGCTGTGTTGAGGAGGCAGTGAGATCATGCATGCGATAAGTTAGGTGATTGATGAACCCACCTTAAAAAGTTGAGCTTTCCCATAAAACCAAGGTGCTGGTGTTAATTCTAACTGAACCAATACYGTGAAGGATCATAACAGCCCGAGGGTGTCTTCTAGTGGGAGGTGGCAGAAGAGGGTGACGCTGATGAGTGTGAGCTGAGCTATGCGGCAGAGTCTTCCTGAGCAGGACAGGGAGGTTTTCTACAGCAGAAAAGAAGCTCGGACCTGTGCAGTGGCCACAAAGGAAGTGCTCTGTCTTTCAAAGCCCTTTCCCATATCTCCTCTGGACTCTAAGCTCTGAGACCCCGCTGTCGGCCTGGTGTCCCACGGTGAGCATAACGTGTGCTCTGCATACCTCAAGAACGAGGGTGGGATGTGGCTGCACACAGTGGAGAGGCAGCCATGTGGGAAGAGCGCAGACGCTGAGCCAAGAGGCTGGGTTTGCATCCCGACTTTCCCATTTAGTAGCTGCAGACCTGCCTGCAGCTTGGCTTGCACGTCCGTCCGTCCATCCAATGGAAACGCTGATGGCACCTGCCTGGGAGGGTCCTTAGGAGGGCTGACTGAGTCAGTGCTTGTCCAAAGTAGGTGGTTAGAATGGTGCCTGGCACACAGTAGGTCAGCAGTTCTCGTCATGGGAGGGAACAGCCCACCCTACCCTCCACMGTTAGTGCAGCTCTGTCTGGGACATGGGATGGACGAGACCATCTGGGGTCCTCTCCAGCCCAGGAGTCTGGTGGGGTGGTCAGGGCTGCTGGCTAACTCTGTACTTCCATGGGACACTGGGCCTTCTTAGGGMAGGGCTGGGCCAGAGCTTGTGTCTCTTGCATCTGTCCAGACTGCACCCTGGGGAGTCTTGGCATAGAGTAGCCAGTCAGAGCTCAGCTCACAGGCCCTGGGCTTTCACGTAAAGGAAGCCCTTCACCTTTGCTTTGGCAGACCTGAATCACCAGCATCGCTCCTCATGCACTTTGGGCCTTTCTTAAGTAGAATGAGGGTTATTTGAACACAGGCTCTGGATCTGAGCCCAGACAGCTGCCAAGTAACCAGCAGGCAGGTAGCACATACCGTGTGGAAACACTGGACGGAGAATGTGATTCACATGCTGGGCAGGCAGGAACATGGCAGCATGAGATTCCATCGTGGTATTCAGAAGGGAGTGCAACTTCAAACTGATAAACTGTTTATTTCTGGCATTTTTCATTTAATATCATCAGACTGCAGCTGATCACAGGTAACTGAAACTGCAGAAAGTGAAACCCTGGCTGAGAGGTGACCAGTGTGTAGCTTTCCTGGCTTCCCCCTGCCTCACCTGGTTCTGTGTCCTGACTGGTCTTTTGCCCCACAGGGAGGGTAGAGTCTGAKTCCACAAGATAGCTGTGGGGAGTGGAGGGTGAGGCCAGCCGTTCACAGCAGAGCCATCCCCCTGCCTCAGTGGGCAGCAGTCTGGAGCTTCCAGTGGGTTTAGGGAGTTGAGTGCCTTCTGGTTTCTCGAACAATCACATTGCTTTTACAACAACGGGTATTTTTGCTAAGATGGATTCAGAGTAGTCGGAACTACCTTGCTGGAAGCATCCTCATCCAGGACCCCTGGCCTTTCCTGAGCATAGGAGTCTCAGTGGCAGGACACAGGGCTCTATTCTTGGTCCTGGCTTATTAAACATTTTTGTTAATGACTGGAATGAAAGGTAGAAAGAATCCAGATGACCCACAGCTGGAATTATTAATGGGACACACGACACACTCAAGTCGAAAATGATCAATGCAGCATGAGACACCGGCCAGAACCAACAGAATGAAGCTAAACAGGGAGGGTRCGAAGCCTCGGCTTAGCTGTAGGAAGGGGCCTGGCCATTGTTCAACCGCTCCACCAACACCTGGGGCCACCCGAATGCTCGGTTCTGCCCGAGAGAGTGAGAGCCGAGAGGCCTTGTGGAGGCCGAGGGAAGGGACTGGCCCTGGAGGCAGAGGCCGAGGGAAGTGACCTTCGGGTAGAATGAGCTGCGGGGACGCCCAGGTGCTGCCACCCCCTGGGTTGAGGACGTCAGCCAAAAAGGACAGTCTCCATGTGCTGAGCCGCACCCGACAGGCGGCCATGGTGAAGGGGTCAGGCGGGGACAGCGGCTACCAGAACGCAGGGTCTCCTGAGTGTGGGCGCGGGCGCACGTGTGGCRCCAGGGATGGGAGAGCAGGTGGTCGGGGCCAGGGGGCTGACGAACAGGGCTGCTCAGGCCCGGAAGAGGRTGGACGGTGTGCTCTCTGCAGGCTGCAAAGGGGGGCCCTGGATGGCAGGGCTCAGGGCACCACGGGACACCGAGGGTGGCCCTGCGTCTGGCCCTGCGTGCTGGAGCGCGACCAGAGGGAGAGCCGGCGAGGCCGCTGTGCCGCACCCCTGGGAGGACTCAGAACAGTGAAGGAAAGCCCGTGCTCAGGGTTACGTGAGAAGGCCTGATCTTTAGCTGACCACCAGCACTTTTACTGATGATTATTCATTCACTTATTGAGGAGCCGGATCAGATTTAACCCCAGCCCAATAACTTTTTTTTTTTTGAGGAAAAAGATAACTCAATCTCAGACTTTATTTTCACACCCCAAATGCAGGATTTGAGTCTCTCCTCCTGCCCAGGCCTCCTGGACTCTCCTCAGGTCCTTTCCCCAGATTCTCTCTCTAGCTCCGAAAAGGAGGCCTCAGGGACACGGAGCCTGTGGGCTCTGGGCTGTGACCTGAGGCTGGAGAGGATGGGAGTGGGGTAGGCAGGTGTCCTCTAAGTCTCCGTGGCACCCAGGCTGTGGTCCTGCAGCAGATGAATCATGAGGCTTCAGCCGTCCACTGACAAAGTCTGAAGGAGRAATGTTCTAGTTCCTGATTCTCAACCGATGATCAAAGTGTGATCAAGAAAAAACCCTTGGTGCATGCCTGTGGTCCCAGCCACTTGGAGGCCTGTCTGCGCAACTCAGTGAGATCCTTCTCAAAAATAAAAAATAAATAAATAAAATAAAAAGGGCTGGGAATGTGGCTCAGTGGTAGAGCTCTAGTCTGGCATGCATGAGACCTTGGGTCCTCTACCTAGTACTATAAAAAAGTAAGATATTCATTTATTATTAAGCTAATCTTGAACATTTTCAGGTAAACCATAAACCGTCATCATCCTAACACAATGACTCTCTCTCTCTCTCTCTCTCTCTCTCTCTCTCTCTCTCTCTCTTTCTCATTTAAAAGAAGGGAGAAATGGATGATTCCACTAGGTATAACTACTTTCAGCTTTGGGTCTTTATTATATTTGGCCACACAGGATTCTTACATAGCTGGAGTCAGCATAGACGCAAGTCTGCACTCTTCTTATTTACTGTTATTTCCAAGATGACGTCCTTGTTCTGCGTAGCCATATTGTCATTTTAAACGCCTTCTCGATGGTCTATGATACACTACACCATCCTTTATTTAGACGCTTTTCTATCTTGGGCCATGGCGTTGGCTTCCACTTTCTCCTGTTATAAATAACCCAGCTATAAACAGTCCTGTGTCCTTTTCTTCTTCTGAATGATTTCTTTGGAAGCAATTCCCGGGAGTGGATTATTAGGTCGAGGACATGGATGTTTTTATGGCTCTCCATGCATGTTGCCACTTTGGCCCTGGCCTCCTTCCTTCCTTCCTTCCGCGGAGGCTCCCTGTACAGCTTGCCGGCTCAGCGGGATGCTCCAGGAAGGGAATGTGAGGTGAGAGGACCCAGGAGCCGTGTCCAGCCAACGGCCCTTTCCTCCCAGGGTATTGCTGCCAGCAATAAATACCCCGGAGGAAGGGGGTGTGGACACCCTGGGAAATGAAGCAATCCTCTGGTACTTCCCCCTGGAGCGTGGGCCGCTGGGGGGAAATTACATACCAGATAGGGGTGGGGCAGGCAGTGACAGTGACACTGGGGACACAGGAACCTCTAGTGGGGTCAGGAAAGGAGCAGAACCTGAGTGTTGAAGCTGGCTTCTAGGTGATGCTTGCAGTCTTGGGGAGCGTGTCTGCTCACTGGCTTGCTGAGATCTGTAACGAGCACCAACTGTGTCGGGTTCTCTGCTGGGACCATGGATACCTTGGGGAATGAAGCTTGGCTCCTGCCTGCAGGGGCCTTGCAGCCTAGTCGGGGAGTCAGAAAGGCAAGGTGTGATTGCAGCAGTTTGGTCCATACTGGGCAGACGCGGTTCCATGTGGCGATCTGCACATCCTGCCTGGAGCAGGAGGAGTCCCGGGCGGGGAGGCCCCCAAGGAGCTGATCCTGAGCTCAGTCTGCAAGGACAGGGAGGAGAGGGAGCTGAAGGGTGAAGAGAAGGGTGTTTAGCTGGAGGACCCAGAAAGTGTGTGTAAAATAGGACCCTGTTTAGTGGGGGACCATGCCAGAGGGGACCGACCAGACCTTCRGAGCCTCTCCGGGGCCTGATGGGGAAGGAGTTGGGATCTTCTCAGGGTCAAGTTGCCAGGGAGCCTGGAGGACCCACCCTGAAGCTGCGTCCATGCAGCCAGCACACTGTCCCACTTACGCTGGGTACAACTAATGAGAATGTGACACCKAGAGCCACCTCTTGGTGTCACGCTCATTTTACTCCTGGAGCAGGGGTGCTGGGAGTTATATGACCAGACCTATTTCAGGAAGCTCACTCCGGCTGTGGCTCTGAGGATGGACTGAGAGAGATGTCATGGAGGCCCTTCTGGAGGCCGGTCAGTCACCMACACTAAAGACCAGGAAGCTGGCTGCCCGGGACCAGGGAGGGAGGGGGACAGGAATTTGAGAGGAGGACCCTTCTTCACAGGGACAAGACGTAGCTGAAGATTAGGCACGGTTCCCAGGGGCCTGCTCGGACAGGGATGCCCAGTGCACCACGACATTTAAAAAGCAGACAGGCGGGCTGGGGATGTGGCCCAAGCGGTAGCGCGCTCGCCTGGCATGCGTGCGGCCCGGGTTCCATCCTCAGCACCACATACCAACAAAGATGTTGTGTTCGCCGAGAACTAAAAAAAAATAAATATTAAAAATTCTCTCTCTCTCCCCTCTCTCACTCTCTCTAAAAAGAAAAAAAAGCAGACAGGCCAGGGACTGGGTTTCTCATGTCTCCCAGGCACCTGGGAAGGTGCATGGTGTGAGCATGGGTGTGAGTGGGCTGGAGGAGAACCCAGGGAGCCACTCAGGGGGCCAGGCCAAATTCCACTGCTAAAGCATCTTGGATCAATGGTGCAAGATGGGGGGGGCCTCACCAGCTTGATAACTCCACCCCATCTGGCTCACAGGGAGAGTTAAATGAGATAACTTGGAAAATGTGTGTAGGATCCACATGAGCAGGGATTTTACCACCACATCTTGGRAAATGCTGGGGACAAACCTGGAGATAACTTGGCCCATTAAGAGAGGCGGTGCCCTGGAGCCTAGGCACTGACGTAAGGTAACAGGGTAAGCTGCCTGTTGTCCACCTGCGCCTGGGCCTCTGCTTCTTCCTCCTCTGTGGCTTCTCTTTGAAGCTCTGGGAGGCCAGATTGGGTGGGGCGGGGGCCACTCACCCTAGGCAGAGGCTGTGTTTGATGCCATCAGCTGCAGTGCATGGAACTTCCTGAGTCCCYGGTGTTGGGGTTGGGCTCCAGCCTGGGGCAGGGAGAGACCTGCTGTCCACCCCAGAAGGACCGCTGCCATCCCTGGCATGAGCTCTGGCCAGTGTCCAGGAGCTACAGGGACTCMGCTCTGTCTAGGGAAGGATTTTGCATTTTCCGTAGAGAAGCACCAGTTAGGACAGAGCGGGGCCAGGATCCGGCCCTGCAGTGGCTGTGCTTGTGCAGGCCGGAGAGCTTGACCAGGTGGGAGAGGACCCGAGGCGCTCTCGCCTGACGCATGCTGTGAGCCAGGGGAGTGTGCCCAGAGGCCCCTTCCACAAGGCCACCCATGCCCCAGTCGTCTGCTCGGCTGTCACAGCACAGACAGGTCGGCTGGAGCAGCAAAGCTCTGCTTCCCCACAGCTCTGGAGGCTGGGAGGCCAAGGTCAAGGACTGCAAGTGGCTCCTTCCAAGGCCTTGCTTCTGGGCTTGGGGACAGCCCCTTCTCCTTCTGTTCTCACATGGTGTGTGTCTCCTCCTGAGGGCGGCAGTCAAGTGGCATTAGGGCCCACCGTGAAGAGCTCACTCCRACCTAACTACCTCTGGAAAGAGCCCATGTCCAAACACAGTCACATTCTCAGGGGCTGCTGACCAGGCTTCAATGTGGGGATTGGGGGACACCATTCAGGCCTCACCTTCAGCTGTGGTGAGAACAGAAAGGACATGGCAGCTGTGGGGGCCGAGTGGCATGCCAAGGGCTCCTTGGAGCCAGGTGACCACTCCCGCTGGGCCTGTCCAGCCGCAGCCTGGGGAGAGGGCCAGGCACAGTGCTGCTGAACAGCCTCCTGCTCCCGCCCAGGCACAGTGCCCACCCCCTCCTTCAGGGTCCCTGAGCCAGCACAGGGTGTCGTGTGCTCGGCGGCCACCTGAGCCGCCCCCAGCCGTACTGCCTGGGACGCCCCCGGCCTCTGCCTGTGTCCCCAGTGGCTGTCTTCCTCTGGGGCCTGTGGTGAGCCGCTCTGCCCAGCCCAGTGGAGGAGACGGGTGGGCAGGCTTGGGGGAGAGCCCGKCTGGGAACACGCACCAACCCTTATCAGCCCTCTGTCATCCCAGGCGACCAGGGGACGGCTCCCACAGGCTGCGTCCCCCCACCCCCCTYGTCTGGGGCTGGGCCCAGATGTTTCTCCTCAGCCGGACAGGGGACAGGTCCACTGCCTTTCTCACAGGAGGGCRGCCTGGCTTCCAGCTGGGTGAGGAGGCCCTGGCTCTCGTCTCTCCTCACCCTCCATTCCTCACGGAGGAGCTGCCTCCCTTATCACCAGGACCTGGAGGGGGTGGGGCTGAAAAGGAACTGGGCCCCTTTAAAACTGAACTCCACGGTGCCCAGWCGCTCCAGGGTATTTTCAGCCTGGGCCAGTGAAGAGACACGCAGCAGCCAGGCTGGCACCAGGCGCTCCTTCCCAGGGCCAGGCTGGGTGGCAGCCCCGCAGGGACACAGGATTGCCAGTGGCTACTGTCTAACTCCGGGAAGCGGAGCAACTTCCAGGCTAGCGCACCCAGTCTTGTCGGTGAACACACGCGTGTGGGTACCGATGGCTGGGCCCGAGCTCTGCAGGGTTTCCAGCCGATGTCGCAGTTCCACGTGGACCTCTGTGGACCTCTGTGGACCTCGTGGCTTTAGAAAGCCGAGGTCTGTCACCTGTCACTGGAGCGGGCGCGTGCTGTTTTGTGACTCTTGTGCGTAGGTTCTCTGCAGCTCTTCTCTAAAATAGTCTCCAGGTGGCCTCTGGCTCCGCAAGGTCGTATAAACTGCATTGCCCACTTCCTGAGTGTGTTTTCTAAGAAAGAACAAGGCGTTTTCAAACTCTCGCGGCACGGCCCCAGGTTACTGTCTCAGAAGAGGCAGAGCGGTCAGCGCGCTCGCTGCAGCTGTTTTGAAGGGGCCACTCTTCCCGTGGTGGGGGCACCTTGCTCTTACCATCGACACACACCTTTGCCAGCGGCCTGCAGAGGTGCCTTGCACTGTCCAGTGATCGTCAGGGTCACACCTTTCTTCCCAGACGGAGACTGAGAGGCTCTCCTCCTGGCCTCCTGTGGCTTTCTGGGCTGACTGCGTAGGTTTCGCACTCCGGATGGGGGTTTCTCTGCATCCCCCCTGGCAGCTTTCCCTCTGCCAACTTGTCTTCAGATGAAAGCAGGAAGGCTCAGCTGGGTGGACGCTGGGGTCCCTGGGGAGAGGTTCTACAGCAGCTGAGCTCRTGGCTGGTCCTGTGCTCCTCACAGAGACGGGAGGCCCAGCAGCAGAGACACAGTCTCCAACACAGACCTGCCTTCTCCAAAGRCTGGGGCTTGAGATCAGCAGATAGTCATTGCACACCTGTCACGTGTGGGTGCTAAAAGTCCGGGAAGCCCAGGAGAAGGCCACAGTACCTCCTCCACCCAGAGGTCAGTCTGGTGAGAGGGACCGATGGGTCAAGGTCAGMAAAGCAGGTGGTCGTGACGACACTATCCAGGGGATAGGTCCTTGAAGGCTTCCCAGAGCCGGCAGGGAGCTGGGTCTTGGAGGAGGAAGATCCGTGTAGGTGGCGGCCATGAGGACCACAGCATTGGAGGTGGGAAGTACAGGGTGTTCAGAAAGGCACAAGAGGCTCAGGATGGGAAGAGCCGGGGCCTGGTGTCAGATTGCCAGGGCTGAACCCCAGCCCCTCTGCAGCTCAGAGGCCTTGACCACTCATCAGCCTCCCTGRTCCCCACTCCCACTGTCCAAAGCCCGACGGCCAAAGCATTGGAAGAGCTGGTCTCCATCAGACGCCCAGTGTGGCCCATAGTCTGCTCAGCAAGTGCTGCTGCCGTGAGGAGGTGTGACCTCGTAGGAAGGAGAGGGGACTGGGGCTCGTGGTCTAAAAGGTGGAGGGTGCTTTATCCCAAAGACTTGGGACCRGGGTGTTTTTGATTTTTAATTTTTCCAGATTCTGGAATGTTTGCATGTGCCTATCTTGAGAGATTTCAGGGATGAGACCCAAGTACAAACGTGAAATTCATTTGTTTCACAAGCACCTTATTCACATGGGCCAAAGAGAATTTCATGTGCTCATTTTTAGAGTTCCTTTGTTTCACCGGTGCCCATCACGCGAGGTCAGGTGTGGACTCTCCCCTCATGGTGTCAGGTCTGGTCGGTGTTGGAAAAGTTTTCAGTTTTGGAGCATGTCAGATTCRGGGTTTTCAGAGTCGGGATGCTGAGCTTGAGGAAGGTGACCAGGTGAAGACACGGCAGACTTACAGCTGAGAAAGACCATTTGGGCAGCAGAGGGGAGAATGGAAAAGCGGAAGAAGAGTGGAGACCAAGAAACCCCCCACAGTTGCAGGAGAGATAATGGCATCCTGAGGGCCAGTGGCCACAGTGAGGATGAGGAGACAGAGCAGAAATATAAATAAAGGACAGAAGGACAGGCTTGGTGACCGAGTAGGTGTGAGGAGCCAGGGAGACAGGATCTGATGTTTCCYAGTTGCTGTCCCCAAATCTGCTCGTGAGCTTGGCCACGTCCTGCAGACCCAGCACCCTCAACCTCTCCGGATGGGCCTGTCATCGCTGCTCCCCACGGCTCCCAGGGACAGACTTCCTGGGGTTGAGGAGAGTGTGGGGACAAACACAAGGCCCCTTGTTTCCAGAGCGGGATGGAGGATGCACCTCTCCCCAGGGAAATGAGCTCAGCTTTCCTCCTGCTCCCCGCCTAACGAAACCCGGAGCCTGAGACTTAGCCCCGGCTCCAGGACCCTCACTGACCGCCACTCTCAGGCCCACRTCCGCCCGGGGAGGGGCGGCTCCAGGAGGGGCGTGTTTGGCAAAGAGGAAATGGCTCCAACCAGATATCGCTTTGTTTGTTTTCCCTGYGAAAAGAAAAGAGACCATTTTTCCTCTCTTATTTATTTTTTTTAGGGACCAGGCAGATATTTTTAATGCCTCTGGTTCCCTGCTGTCTACAGGTGCTTCCTATGTGCTGCTGTCAGGCAGGATAGAGCCCATGACATAACCGCTCTGCTCCGGAGATTTCCAAAACCCCAGCTGTGCCTGTGGGTGCCATCTCAGATCCCCTGGCTGGGCATGAATGTGCTGCTCCTCCACAGCCTGTCACCCATGG